TCCACAACGAAAAAGTAAAAAAAAAAAAAAATAGGGAAATTAAAATTATACCAGAAACACGACCGGACAAAAACGGCTTTCAGCATTAGCTTCCATGTCGATAGAAAAGGACTTGCTAATGGACCTGAAAACTGTACAACAGAGCCACTGAAGTGTTCCTGAGAAAAGAAAGGATTATTTTATTTATTTTCAAATAAGCACTCTGTGGAGAACTACATTGGTGATGAGGCAATGAATTTTATTTTACATTTCTTCTTGTCATTTTATTTCGTTAGTATTAAATTCATGGTAACGAAATAAAATGACAAAGATACAAACATGTATCGAATAAATCTGCTCACCTGCAATTTATAATGGCGCATTGTAGTCACCTTCGTGCACGAAAGTTCGTTCAATCTCAGCTGCTCAACATTTTCAATTATTTGCTGTTGTATCGCCGATTTTCAAAATGCAAATGATCTGTTTATTTTCAAAGAATAGTTTGTTTTGTTTTTGTTTGGTTGGTGTCTTATATGAAACTGCGACATTGCGCAATTTATTGGACAGACTTGTTTAAGATCACACAGCGTAATTTGGGTGGCATTTTATTTGGTATTTTTAAATCATCTTTTTATTTTTGACATTTCGTATTTTAAAATCATCTTTTTATTTTTGACTATCTGTAAATTTAGTTTCCTGCTCTTAATTGTGAATGCATACTTGATGGTTTTAAATGCTCCTGAAATTAAGTGCTGCTTGACGAGTCTATACAGTATTGTGTTCATGTATGTGATGTCACTGAAGGCCTAAGGTTGAAATGCACAGCCCGCCACTGTGAAAAACTCAAAATGATGCCCTCTTTTGTTGTCCCAGGTCTTAAGATGGGACAGCAGCCCAAGTCTGAAGTCAATTGGATGAACCCTCTAAGACAGGGGTCCCCAACCTTTTTTGCCCCACGGACTGGTTTAAATCAGACAATATTTTCAGGGACTGGCATTTAAGGTGTGGCGGATTAATACAACAAAATAATATGGTA